ATGCTAAATAGGTCATATACAGTAAAATATTCACCTTTTCGGAAAAACGACAAATTTCTAATAAACGAGAAATCAATCAGAAAGGAGTCAAGCAAAGAGTTCATTTTTCTACAAGTATAGAACAAAAAAAATTTTAAAAAAACGAACTACATATTTATAAAAACAAGAAACTTAATACATTTCTTATAATATTCTCATGATGTAATGAGTAAAAAAAAAAACTGGTTTTCAGTTCTCATGATTAATCACAAACATGTGGTTTTTGATAGCGATAATAGCGATAAGAACGACTAACAATTGAATTCATTGATTATCATAATGGAAACGAGTTCATTGTCTTTCTTTAGACAATTGCGTCATATTACCAAATTTCCAGAATTTTCAATCATGATCTACAGAGGTCACATCTTCTGCAAACCACAATAATCAATTCTTCATGATTTTCCATAGAAGATTTTCCCGATAACTGTGATCAGTGTTTGCTAATACACAATACATATTAAAATATTAAATATATATGTATCTATAAAAATATCATTGCCATTATATTAAAAAAAGGTATTTCGCTAGGGTTATTAATGGAGTGACATAGCTCTGGAATGAGCCCAACCCAAGTTGGTGAAACTGAAGTAAACTGGAACAGCTATAAGCAAACCTGGAGTAACTCCGAAGTGAACCCAACCCAAGTTGGAGTGGTTGAGAAATATTTCAACCTAACCCACTCCATTAGCGATGTTACAATAACAATATGAAGTTAAATAGTTTGGGTAACATCGCTACACCAACCCACAACCTTATACATACAGTATTTCGCAGATCAGTATGGTATGGGCCGAATTTTGATTATACCCATGTTGAGGAGTCCTACCTAAAGAAGTATAGCCGGGAGTACCAAAGAAGTTGCGTATGATAAGCTTTTATTATCATACTCATGTGTATGATAGCTATTAATATGCATTTTAAATTAAATTTTAAATTCAAAAATATATACCCAAAAGGGATCGTTGATTTCAAGACATTTAATTAATTATATATAATTATGTTGAACTGGAACATAAATATTATTCATTGCTATAGGATTTCATTTTATAAAATGAAACTCATATTGAAATAACTCAGTAACAACATATGATACAAATGATAAAAATGCGATCATTTATTTCACAAAAGAATTGGCATCGCTGTTGGAAAAAGCCATTGTCAGCGTTCGAAAATGTAAGTAATGTAATTTAATTTAAATGATTTTAAAATACTGTAGATTTTAAAATCTAATAGAAACGTTAGAGTATGAAGATTGACTATTACAACTCGAAGGAAAAATTAAGAGAATTGCGCATTTCTACGTGAACGTGGTTTAGAACGTTAATATGCTTTTTTTGCTTTGTTAGTTTATTTGAAACAAATAAATTTCTTGCATAATTGCTTTAATATTTGCTTTGTTACTCATTGTAATTGCTTTAATATCTAATAACTATTATCATACGTATTACATATATCATACAATTTTTTATATTCGATATCATACGCAACTACTTTTAAGTAATACCGCATGTAAAGTACTTTTAATAACTGAGTAAAGTTATGTCGAAAATGCTAGTAATTAATTGAGTAAAGTATATTTTTTAAGAATTTACAAGTGACTCCTTTCATTTGGCACTGGGTGTGACCAATCATGTGTATAACAAATATATGGGGACGCCCACAGCAAAAGCAGGGGATAGGACTATATATTATATAGCCCCATTCCTGCTTTTGCTGCGGGCGTCCCCATATATACTTATCCGTCACACCATGATTGGTCACCAAATGAATTTGATTCGTAATAACAAATGCCGAACTCGAGTTTTATTGTTTAACTTCCAAAAACCCCACATTGCTTGAATTGTTCAATTTTGCAAATTGCATTTCTATCTTTAGTTTCCAGGTCAACCACATTAACGAATATATCAGCAACTTTATAGTTTTCAATGCATCAACCTGATATCGATGCAAAGTCTAATTTCATATACCTTGCGAAAGAAATCCACCAAATAAATAATTCTTGTTCACCTAAATCCAAGTTTATGTTTGTGTTCTTGATCTAACTTGGCATTGTAATAGAGAAAACTTCTCTAGGTTATAACTTCATAAATATGTATGAACTATAACTATATATTTTAGACTAAAAAAATCTTTCATATCATCTATCGATTTTTTGTCGCATAATTGTAATCTGATTTGATTATCATTCTGATTTAATTAATTACTAAAGATATACTATAAAATTGGTAAAATTGGTACTGAGGTTTAAGTGAATTTTACAAAAACAGTTCTATTAATAATTTACAAAATAAGTAGATTAGTTAATAGAAAGTATTCAAAACCCTACAGTTAGGTAATGTGCTCTGAAATACATAACAGTTTGACAGATATACAAAAAACAAGGTTAAATATTAGGTTGAATAATACTTAAATATATAAAAACCAAGCACTACTTATATATTTAATAAAGTAGATAATTTAGTTAGATTGCAAATATAACAACTAATATAAAACCTTTGAACAGACTATTTAAATAGACAATCAAAAATTGTACATATAGTTAGTTTTACGCTTACCTTGTATAATTTATATGTATATAATTAAACCACAATAAAGATAGTAACTGTCATAAACGTTAAGTTTAGCAAAAATAAAAAAAAAATAAAATAAAATAAAAAATATAATTTTTAAGTTGATATTATAATATATATATATATAATTAGAATTATTTTTTATTTAAGATACAAATGTAATTGTATTAATAAAATTTTACAATAAAATTTTTAAAATTTACAATTTCTTATAGTTTATTATAAAAATTTTTTTTTTAAATATTAACGGTGAGGCCATTATTATAAAATTTCAATCTATATAAATATAGATATCAATATACAATATATAAATCAAATCATATAAGTATTTTTAAAAAAACATCAAAATAATTAGGTAAAAATAATAAAAACTTTATACTAACATATACAAAACTATACTGACTTAAGCCAAACTATGTGATTAATAACATGTCTTTAGATCTAATAATATGCCATACCTTAAATGACATGTGAAGTTTCTTGGTGTTATTTTGGGAACTTGATATAAAAAATCATATGATATTGATTTTATTAGTTGATAGCCATCAAATATAAAAGTCTTTAATGTTATAGATTAAGGTTCAATTCTAAACAATATAAAAATTATGTTTCCGTATAAACAAACAATCAATACAAGACAAAACCTTGCAAATTTCATGTGTGCGATTGTATGAATCATCTAACATACGGCCTCACCTGAGCGTTATTCTAGAAACAAAACTGGTATTGACAATAATCAAATATTATCAAATTGTGAAGAAGCAGGTTTTGTGTTTAATTTATTGAATATTCGATGTTTAAATATACTTATAAAACTAAAATTCGTGTTGAAAACTTGTCAAATTGTGATCATTATAGTAAAATCTTGAGTTATTTTACGATTTTTCTGTTTTTTTTTAAGTTACACCTGATCTTGTGATTTTATTGATACAGTTAACAATGTTTATTGTACCAAACGAGTCAAGGGAAAATCTGTCAATGTCTAGTCCCCTTGACGGCACTCAATATGGTATAGTAAATAAATCGACTGCGCATAATCACTTGATTATCTCAAAAATTCAATACTAAATAAAATATTTTACGTATAACCTTTATAATTAACTAATAACAAATAACACTCATACGTATGTATTTATTTATACGCACATGTTAATCTAAGCGTCACCCTCACGTGAATCCAACGATTTTAATATAATAAAATAATATATAATAATATATATAATATATATAATATATATATTGTATATCCCGCGAACAAGCTATCTCAACGATCGATATAAAGTAATCACTCAGTAAAAAAATAGATATTATGTTACTGAATAGTATATTTACAGACGACAATTAGTAACTAAATTTTTAATATGTTATTTAAGTGAATCAACATACTCTACTGCGTAGGGTATTACCTCCGAATTTTAGAACCTATACCATACTGATCTGGTGTTATATATATATATTAGCGTTAGGGTTAGGAATTATAGCTGATCAGAATCGGTATAGCTTTTACTTCCTTTTAATTTATACTGATCTGCGAAATATAGGGTTGGGTTGGAGTGTAGCGATGTTACCCAAACTATTTACCTTCATATTGTTATTGCAACATCGCTAATGGAGTGTGTTGGGTTGAAATATTCCTCAACCCACTCCAACTTGGGTTGGGCTCACTCCAGAGCTATGTCACTCCATTAACAACCCTAGCGAAATATATTTTTTTAATATAATGCCAATGATACTTTTATAGATACATATTTAATATGTATTGTATTGGCAAACACTGATCACAGTTATTGGTTCTTGTCGGAAAAATCTTCCATGAAGAATTGATTATTGTGGTTTGCAGAAGATGTGACCTCTGTAGATCATGATGTCATGTAAAATTACAGATTCTTACTATTACTGTCTTTGAAAATTCTGGAAATTTGGGTAAGATGACGCAATTGTCTAAAGAAAGACAATGAACTCGTTTCCATGATGATAATCAATGAACTCGATTGTTAGTGATTAATCATGAGAACTGAAAACAAGTTTTTTTTTTACTCATTACATCATGAGAATATTATAATGTATTAAATTTCTTGTTTTTATAAATATGTAGTTCGTTTTTTTGTTCTATACTTGTAGAAAAAAATGAACTCTTCGCTTGACTCCTTTCTGATTGATTTCTCGTTTATTAGAAATTTGTCGTTTTTCGAAAAGGTGAATATTTCACTGTATATGACCTATTTAGCATTATGAAGGTGGAAGTTACGCTGTTGGAGTGACGCGAAATTGCTCCAATGTAGACCTTCATATTTCTGAGGCTATGTCCATTGGCGCGTAAGAATGGTGCAATGATGATACGTTGTATTCACTTTTTTTTTTTGTTTATATAGCTTTCTGGTGTTGACGATGACAACTTCACGTCTTTCACATCTCTTATATCCTCCACGTTCTTTGAAGAGGTGAATATTTCACTGTATATGACCTGTTTAGCATTATGAAGGTGGAAGTTACGCTGTTGGAGTGACGCGAAATTGCTCCAATGTAGACCTTCATATTTCTGAGGCTATGTCCATTGGCGCGTAAGAATGGTGCAATGATGATACGTTGTATTAATTTTTTTTTTTCAATTTAGTTGTCACTTGCAGAAAAAAACGAATTATATGCGACAACTTTAATAAAACATATTCAAGCTCTACGTGGAATATCATCTTCTATGATTCAAAGCGATAACGATATAAATATATATTCATTATATAAGAATTTGAATTTTGTAATTCGTCCAAGATGGAGAGACAAATATCAGATTGGTCAAGAAGAAATTGAACGTTTTATCATTCATATGGCAAAATCGAAAAACGCTATTGGTTTATTTGTCACAAATATTGGTTTCAAGGATGAAGCGGTGAATCAATGAAGAATTTCAATCGAAAGGTTATTCTAGTGTTACAAACCCAATAAAAATTTAAGAAATACAAAAAATCGGTCATAAATCAACATTTTACCTACGAAACCACCTTCGCGCATTAACAAAGTTTTTCTAGCGAAATTCTAGTATTAAAAAGTTCGTTTAACTTAATAGTCAAACCTAACCCTGATCTAACCCTAATCTAGCTGCGAAATTTTAATTTTAACATTTTCTATTTGTGCATTTGTGGAGATAGCAGAACAATAAGTCATACAATTTACAAGAATTGCTGCCTCATGTAAATTCTCATCCTTTTTGTAATAACAAACTTCAAGATAAATAGCATTACGTTTATTTTCATCAATTCCGCAAGAAATCTATGCGTTTTGTCGATCATTCGCCTCGATTGATCAATAATGGCCTGCATTAAACTAATTTTAAACTTGGCGTCAAATTAACGAATAAATTTAAAAACATTACTTAAGGAATTTTTTTAATTTTTCGATTATTGATAAAATCTGGCATAAATTTATAATACATCTACTGCATGAACGTTTTAAACTTATTCAAGATCATGAATTCAGCATACGTATATGCGTAATCACGGGCAAGATAATCATAACAATATGGATATTAAGGATGGTCCGGCTTATGTATTTATTAACTATTATAAAAAAACCTGATTAATGATAAGGCCAAGTGAGTTGATAACATCTAACCGGTATAATTAGAGTTAAAAAAACTGTAATAGATTAGTCGCGAAACCAAAATTCAGAGGATCGACCAACATTTAGAATAGGCTGGAGCTAGGCCGGCATTAAGCAATAATACCAGCCAATTATAGCCAACAAAATAACAAAAAAATACAAACAAAAAATTTAAACTACGTAACGAAATAATAACGATAAGTAATAAATTAATCATACTCATTAAAAGTAATATTTATCACAGCCAGAAAGTATTATGATTATGGTTTTTCTAAGTATTTGGAATATTTCATTACCTTTTAACATTGCCTTTTAAAATGGTTATAATCCTCCAATTTATGCAATGGCACAAGTTTTTATTAATACTATCGAGCCATTGTTGCTATTTGGATTAATTATGTTTTCTTCAATAATTTTTGTTGCTGCATCCGGAATTTAAATAAATAATCAGAGTTATAATCTTCCAGAAGAGCATTAAAAATAAAATCTGCAAGATTTTCTAGTGCAATTGCATTGTCTTGGTTAGTTTTTATAAATTTATTTCGATTCCATTCTTTTTTCATTTATTGTTAGTGGAAATTTGGTTACGGTAATTAACATATAATTTTAGAATAAGGTGTTTATTGGATTTTATGCTTTTAACGATCACTTTTCACTTCAAAGAATCAAAGAAAAAAATTACTTACTAAAATCATTACGTAAATATTTTAAAAATATTAGAGAATTGTTATTGCTACCTCATAGGCAGAAATTCGTTTGATTGGCTGATGTACATCAATTACCCAGGTAACTTATTAATATGCTTTAGAGTACTTTTCAGGAACTCCAGTGTTACATACTAAAAAAACGAAAATTTTTACATATAACACTTCTTTAGAGTGTCAAAAGACTATCTTCAAAAATAATTTCTAATAATCTCTAATTTAAGTAGTGTTAGCTTAGTAATGACTTTTTATAATAGGTATAGAAAAGAAACTCAAAGGACTATGCATTAGCAAAATTTGCAAGAAAATATCTAGTGTTTGGTAAAGTGTTACTGAACTTGTTTTGTTTTAAAAAGCAAATAATAAGATGCTTTTTAACTATATTAAAAAAAATGATGTTATATGTTTTATTTATTACTTTATTGTTAAAACAGCTTTTGAATTTTAACAGCATGCATTAAATTTGTATTCTCATATTGAGTCTATTGAGTTAAAAACTACTGATAAACTTATTTTTTTTATTTTTTTCACAGATTATGAGAATAATTACAAACATTCTTTATAAAAAAGTGTATAAATCATTATCAACAATTTGGCATTTTAAAGAATTTTATATGTTTATAAAATTAAAAGATAAATGATTAAGATTTTTTTTAATAAATTATATCTGTCAACTAATTTAGTAATAAAAAAGTATCATAATAATAATTATTTTTATATTATGTTATTTATGAAATTAGAAATAAATTTGTTAATAATACAAAAAAAGATTTAGAAATTTATTCAGATTTTACTAGAACATTTAATTTGACAATTAATATTCTGGCAATATTAGACATAACAATAACATCTTGTTTAATTGCTTACTACAAGGATGTTGTGTCTAAAAATCATTTGAAACCCATAAAATCAAATCTTGCAGATAGTTTTAATAATGTATTTGTTTTAAATATAAATAATTATTATCTTTTAAACTATATTTCAGACAAATTTGTCTGGAAAATTAAATTGTATTTAGTATTTCTTAAATAAAATAATAATTTATTAATAATATGAAGTATACTTTAATTATGAAATATATTCTTAAAAATATATTTTATAAACTTTATTATAAAATTTTTTTCAAAATATTAATAAACTTTTAT